AAAATAAGCTTCTGTTTATGTGAAAACACTGCTCTGCGTTCAGATTATTACGAATTTCCACTGATATAACGGCAATGCATTACTTACTGCGAGGCTGGCCGTTTTTAATATGTCACCATTACTAATGTCATTGCTTATGAACACACCATGAAAAAGCATTTATCGGTCGACTAATCAAACGAACGAATTCATGCCCACACAACAAGACAAGCACATACTTCTTTCGCGGAGCGTCTGGCGTAAATCTGATAAATCTGTTTCGTTCGGTCGCGAAGCACCTTGTCTTCGAAGTGAGGATGATTGAGCAACCGTCGTCCAGTGCAGCATTTTACGCCGGCTAGCAACTGCATACTTCCAGCAAAGGACGCGTATGGCGCTGTCACGTTGCCAATCCAGTACATGAGCGCCACGGTGTCCGGATCATAAAACTCGCGCAGGTCATTCATCGACTCTCTACGAACGAACATATGGTTAGTTTATCGGCCACACGCTTTTACAACACAATGTGACGGTGCAGGGCGCTGAGAAAAACGAGGCAACAAATACTGTTGGTTATGGACATGATATGAGTGACACAATTCAAAGAATCTCTACACTAGATAGAAAACGCAATCAATTTAAAATTCTTGTGATTAATCAGCATTTCTCACTGACAGCCCGAACCACAGCTACGAGTTGGCATGTTCGGACTCAGATGCGGCTATGCATTCGATACAACTGCAGGTGCTTAATTACCACGAAGGTCAGTTCTGGTCTGCCCAACTTGTCCCCCTAGACGACCAGGAGCAATGAGGTAGTGTAACTATTGTTCATCTGCTTTATGTTAAGATAGGTATAAAGTAAGAAACTTATATCATATGATAAAGCAGGTGGCTGTGGTCGCTATCAGTGAAAATAGACTGCATGGCAGAGGCAACGACGAGTATAAGGCTATAATCAGATAGTTGGATGGTGGGACACTCTCTACAATGCTGGTTGCCCCATTGACTTCGATTTAATGCTAGCAGTAAACTGATGCCGAATACGATGGATAATGACGTGGGATGATAATGATGATAGGATAAAGGTGACAATAATGAAAATGCTGTTGCCAAAGGGGACGAAGATTTTTTGCAACATCGAAGCCTTATCAGTAAACTCAATTTGATCTGCAGCGATAATGCTTTCACTCTGCATCGCGGTATATCAGTAGCACTAATAAAATCTATATCCATCTGTAAGGTTTCATTCTCTATACTACTTTTGTTTATTGCTGTTTAGCTGCGCTGAAGAGTACTCGAATCCTCGATGGCTAGAGCAAAAAACACTTTGTCTTGATAGCGGCTAAAAATATCAATAACGTGAGGGAAAAGACTGGTAAAAGTCACACGGAGAGTAATATACCTAATCGTCTGTGAATTTCACTTTAGTTCGGACTGCCATTTTAAATGTTTGGTAAGCCGCAAGACAACTGCGACTGCAAATCAAAAAGCAAGAGTATGGCAGGAAACTAGGGCAGCGTAGTCAAACTTCAAGTGGATTACTCTGTTAAGGTAATCACCTTGAGCCTTTTGCATAAGCAGAACATTTCTGGTTTGTGAATCCCGTTGCATCCGGAAATTTTCAACACGTCTTAAAACCCCGGCTATTTTTCTGCTGAAGGAAATATTCACTCTAAAAGCAGATCTGGCCATGACTTATTCCTAAGTGTTTAACCATTCAACCGTGACTGGAAATAACGTCGAAGAAAACGCTGCTGCACGCAGATCAACCATCGTTCTTAGTCTTTCGTTAGAACAGCTGTCTAACATTTTCGTTAGAACAACATTAATCTGAAAGAAGCAAGATACAGGCGGATTTCCTTGGAAGAGTAACTCCTTCTCAGCCTAAGTTTCAAAAAGTACTCGAAGCCATGGCGACTCTTCTATTTAACTCTGACTGGATCATGCTATTACCGGAGATGATGGATCTGACATACTTAAACTGTTCAAACCCCTAAAGGGCTTCACCTCCTTGTCCCACTTTGTATGTCAGCTGTACCGGATGAATTAATCATAACTTTTGTCTGCCGGCTGTTAAAAATGATGACAATTTTCGCAGCTGTCAGGTGACAGCCTGATTCTCATACTACTCATCTGGACCATATCATCTGCGTACGCCAGGTCAGCAAGATATTCAATATCTAGCCAAATATTTTTAACTGTGCCCTCTTTTCAGAATGACACCTTTGACTTTGTCAGTGTCAACACTGCTTCAAGAAAGTCGAGAACAGTTGAATAGAATAGTTAATACGGAACCACTCTGAGAACTTCCTGAACTTTGAAAGCAAATACTGTTCATTCCAAAACAGAAATGTTGCATGCATCCCATAGCATTTCAAGGTCTTCCACGTCGATGCAAACTTAAAGGAGAGGAAACTGGCAAACTAAGGTAATGGGATTCGTGGGCAATGCAAGATGATCTTAAGATATTCACAGAGTAAACATTTTGCCGGGGCATGGGTATCCATGCGGAGTCCCTTTTGATCTGGGCAAAATCTCCCATCAACTGCCAGCTTTAACCTTTCCAGGATAATCCAAGAGACAAGTTACCCTGGAGTTGACGGTAGCGTGGCACCACCATATTAGGAACATTCAATAACCTGACCCCGTTTAAATATAGGCAACCATCATTCCACAATTCCATTTTCAAAGGAAACGTTCATAGGTCAACATTCAACGAAAGAAGACATGGAATTTTTCCACCATTCCCGTAACTCCATAAATAATGAATCTGGAGGGCAGTGGCTGAGCTGCTAGTGGAGATGCCATAGGGGCATCCTCAGCGCCTTGGACAAAAGTAGAGGAGTGCCCTGCCTACCGGACAAAATTCAAATAAAGTAAAGTCAACGAATTGTTTTCTTGAGGTATGGTTAGGAAACCCAAACATAAAACAGAGATGGACAGGAAATTACACTTGTGTTAGCGGTGTTGGCAACGAAAGATGTCGACTGTTAGTAAAATCCTTCCATTACTGTTTTACGTTTGGGTTTCTTAACCAAGCACCAGGAAAACAACCTGTTGATGAGTTATGCGCCCAGAATCAAAACTTCTTTCAAGAAAATTTTATCGATATACTATTACCCACTGCAGCGAGACGTGAGTGACTGAGCATATATGGCCTATAAATTATGGACTATCATAATTTATGCTAATGAGCTCATTTTATTTAACTGTTCATCATTTAGCAACATTTTACGGTTTCATAGGATTCATAAATATCTAGCACAGTAAGTGTTCAAATATCACAGGACCGTAGTCCAAATGCCTTCTCTCATCCCCATTCAATTAGGAGCAAGGGAATGATGTAATAAGCCGTGAAAGGAGGCTTAACCAAACTGAAAAGTATAAATAGACTAAATATGGCAAAAACTCACTTATATTTAGGATAAAACTTGACGACATTGTACAAAAGCACAGACAGAAGTATGCCGATCTTGACGCCGTCGACAATGTACATCTTTTTAAACTTGACTATGCTGAACAGGTTGTACCATATCTCAGAACTGCCCAGAAGAACTGCCGCCAACACGCAGATCTGAGGAGTCCACAAATACTTCATGCGCAAAACCATCATCGCCATCAGAGCGCTGACCGCTGACTATAATGCAAACGGCGTGGTACAAACCGGAGCATATGCTGTAAGAGCTAAAAAAGCCAAAAATTACCTGGAAACAAAAGAAAGCGATTTCCGGTCGGCGGAAAAAGTAGGACCTTTCATTGAACGGCATCTTTTCTATCGCTTTGTCGCCGCCAGCAACCGGCATGAACAACGAACACCACTGCAGAAGCAAATCTTTGCCGATGACAAAGAACGTGCCACACAGCATGATCATGTAAAGGGGAAACACCAGGCTGTTTGATGTGCGGCTAAAATACTGATTGTCCAGGAACACGAACGACCCGTGGCACAGATAAAGTCGGGATTCGAAATCACGTGGATCAGCAAACCCGAATTTTGCCTAAAACATAACTGTGAGCATTCTTCAGTGGTCAACAGTAAATGCACTTAATCAACTATCTTACGAGATTCGTACTGCTTCTTGGAGCAAAGAATTAAGCTAAGTTCAATTCGACGTAATTAAAAACAACATGGTGAGGTCCATGGTCAGTCAGAGTGAAGAGTGGCGCATTTTTCGCCTAATTATATACCGCTATGGCACTGAGTTGCCCCCGTCCAAAAATACTATATACATCGCCAAATGCTGTGTGGTCATAACCTTGAGATCTGTTTGTATTTGTTGTGGTCATCACCTCGAGTCGTTCGCATAAGCAGAACGTCCCTGATCTGTAACATCATCTTCATGCTTATATCAGGGTTTTAACACTTTTGCTAGAAAGTAACCGTTACAGCATCGCAGAAGGAACAATACCTCTTGGAATGCAGATCTGCCTTTACTTGAATGATCATTATACGTATGGTAGTTTATCATCATCATTAACTTTCTTTGATCCACTGCTGAATTAGAACTCTCCTTTCATTTGCCATAATGTTCTATTTTCTGCGACTGTTATCTGTCTTAATCAAACGAAGTTCTCTACCTTGCCATCGATCTGCAGATCATTCCACCGGCCGCTTGCGATCTCTTGGAACCCAGTCTAATGTCTGTTTAGTGTAGCGACGGACGATTGTCAATGAAATGTGTCCAATGTCACCCCAACCTTGTCACTCGGGCAATGACATAATCCAGTTTGTGATCTTGCCCATTCATTCGTGTTCCTATCTTTTCTTGTTATCCACAACAGACGCCTTTCCATGCTGTGTTGAACAGTTAACAGTCAATGAATAGCATTCACATATTACGGAAATAATTATTTCAATAATGAAAATCGACTTTAGCTTGTTTACGGACGTTCTAATGTAAATGCAGCATTAGTACTGTACGCTGCAAAGACATTTAATTTTGCATCACAGGCTAAATAGACAATTACGGTCATAAAAAAACGTAATACTGTTCTTATTTTTGTGATGTATAACACTGTATGCATATTGGAAAAAGCACTGGGAGATAACACCTTTCAGAGAACCAATAAATTCGTCTTAAATAGAAGACGATATACGTACCTTCAGAAACTTGTATATATGTTGATCAGCTTCCAGATGTAGCGACCATTTTACAGCCACGTTCACTACTATGGTGAACAGGAGCGTGAATACCACTTGGATCATCCACTGCAGACAGCCGTTGATGATGCCGCCAGAGTTGGTCCAGTGACGGAAGAGGAACAGTACCAGCATGGCCGATGGCAGGAAGCTGAGCACCAGTGAACCGAGCAACATCTTCTGGCCGAACTGGGCGACGTACACCACTGCCAGGGCGACAATGTCGATAGTGTACAGCCACATAATCTTGCGCAGCTCGACCAAACGCAGCAGGGCCATGACGTACAAAGCGGCCGCCTGCATGAGCACTACAAACTGGTTGAACTGCCATGCGAGGCAGAACATTAAGGTCGTAACCAGAATTGCACACTTCCACAGGACACTGTCATGATGCCTACTACCTCGCCGGCCGCCGCTGCTCAGATACATGGCCAGGTACACATTCTGCCACCAAAACACCGGCAGTGCGAAATGTTCCCTGATATTCACCGAAAAGTTCACCCTGGTCACGTCTTCCAAGTTAACGATGTAGAAACAGGCGCTGAATAACAGATATTAATAGCGTATTCGATACAAAGACACACATGGTAATCTCTGATCTTTAACTGCCACTTCAACGGTGTCATACACAAGGAACACATAGATGGTAGTCCTAATTATAGCCTGCGACGTTTTAGCAAAACGACCTTTGCTAGAAAGCCTGACAACCGCGTTCAGAGTATTCCAGCCTTTCTCCATGGCTCTGATTGCTTGCCATGAAAATAACTAATGCAATTTCGTTGAAACGTCGATACTTACAACAGAGGCTACTGTTTCTGTTTCCTAGTGTCTAGAATCATTAAAACGACAATTTACAGAAGAAAAGGCAGACAGTACTGTAACGAGCTTCAGAAGGTAATGCACAACCAAAAGAACATTATGACACAGTGACAGGAAAGGAAGTGTCGAAGTTAATCACGGCTGTTAGTTTGCTGAAAATGGTATGACCTAGCATCATTAAATAAATCCTCTCATCTTCGTTGCAAGAACTGGACAAAAATCATCGAAATAAGGCAATACCTAACAAGCGGACAACAATAAGAGTTTACACTATTGTACTCACTCTTCCTACTAGTAACGAAGGCCGTTATAAATCCGTAATCAAACAACAAATGAATGTTAGGGCAGTATCCAACAGTACAGCTGTTACTGTATCCACCAGTGTCAAAAAAGTGGCTGCGCTGATCGTTCAACTCCTATAAGAGCCATGCTTAATAATTCATGGCCGCCTTCGTCAAAACAATTTAGATGCTTCGCAGCATACCGCGCTTCTTACATACTTAGTCCCATGCCTATTTCATAATGCAGGCGAATTTACGAAAGGTCATTCGTATTCCAAAAAATAGTTCCTTCTTGGTCGTGCATTTCAGTTGACGAATCAGCTCCAAGCCTTATAACTACTTTCTGGACATACATCATTTTCCTACAAACGGTGTTGGTAAGGCGAATACGTTAACGGCACATCTTCACTGAACTCGATGTTACGAGTCAGATCAAGTTTCGTCCTGAAACCCGACTAGTTAGCAAGCCGCCATAATTGTATCCCGAATAAACC